AAATGCATAAATGTGTTCATTCATTCATTTTTTGCATCATAAATATTTCTGCAGTAAAAATGTAATTTTCTAAATAAATTTGCTTATACTTTGTGTACATAACTTTTAATACATTTTTCAGTCATTATTTGATATTTTATGTTTGACCCCCGCAATCGTAGTTTTTCCGGTTTGCTATGAATGGTTCAATAAGAAATTATTTATCCAAGTTATACTGAAGACCCAGTTCTGCATATTGTAGTACTGTGGCTCCATAAGACATAAAATTTGCATTTGAACATTTAAATTAAATCGAATATTTTTTTATAATTAATTTTTTTGAGCTTCATCTCTAATTTGGAGACATAAATTGTGTCATTTATTCAACTTACATGTCCTAGAACTGTTTTTGTCGTACTTTCTAAGTAGAAAATACCCATGACCAGAGTTCGTTAATACGTATCTAGGCGCGTATTTCACGCATTGGATTTGAGTGTTGAAAATATTTACTGGCAGTGAAAATACTCCTCAAAAATTTTTGATAAAATTGCTAGTTTCTTCTGCTGTTGAAGATAATTCCCTTTAAAATTATGCATAGAGTAATAGATTAGTGAATGTAAAAAGGGTAACAATGACCCCCCTATTGTGCTTCTTATATTTTGGAAATGAATTGCTATTGGCCAATAGCTGTTTGTGAAAGAGTTTTCTCAACTAAATATATAATATAGAAAAAGAAGAGTCTTGCTTTGCCATGAGCATTTAGAGGACTTGTGTTTTGAAGAACCTTCTTTTCCTACCCCCAATAAAAAATGAATTTCAATCATACTGTTAAAGGGTCAAAACAAAAAAAAGTTAAAAAAATTATATTCCATGCATTTTATTAGTATTTTTTTAGTTTAATTAACCCTCAGGAGGGGGGGGGGAGAATGCAGTTAAAATGGAATAATGTGTTTGATAAATATTCACGTAATATTCTAAAGCGTTTACTTGGTATGGCATATCTGTCAGTTATAACAGTGTGCTCAAAAATAGCTATAATTTACAAACATTAACGCTGTTTTGAAATTTATTCCTTAAAAATTAATAGAGAAGTGAAATGACTCTTTTCAACAAAAAAATTTTGGATACCACTGCTTATGACTTATTTTATAAATTATAACTTCCAAATAAAAGTACCTATAGTTTTTTACCAAACAATAACTACGGATCATTTTTATTCCTATCATCTTCACACACACTATCCATTGTTTGGCTTTCTCTTCAAATGCATAGCTTTCATTTTATTTGGGGGCATTTCCTTTTCCACCTAATTTCAGGCTATTGATTTTCTATCATATATATTCATGAACTAAGATAAACTCTGTAAGAGTAAAGGAAAATCGGACTCACTTAACCAATAATAAAAAGCAGTACCACAAGATAGATCAAAAAAAAGAAAAAAAAAACCTACGGCATTTTCAGAGTTGTTTTGGAGGTGACTGATTTAAACCGATTTTTTTGTGAAGATGTACACAAAATCCATGACCGGAAAATATAAGACATAGTGTTTTGTTGAGAAATGTGGACTACCCGTAACGAGATTCGAATGTGTAAAGAAATTTGAATTATATTATCGACAAAAGAATTTTTTTCTGTTTAATTAGGCTTGATGTCAACGTAAGAAAATCATTTAGATGAATGAATTTGATAGTATCTTGTTTCAGTTAAAAATGGGAAAAAGCTACCTTGATATTTAAATGAACGTCAATGTTAACACTCGGCACAGCCTTCAGATCTACTACAATGTGCGTTTAAATATAAAAAGTATTTCGTAGATATAATTTGTAATAATTTTGACGGGCGTAAATAATCTTATAAAGTTCCATTAAGATTAAATGTTCCGTCTAATGGTCTAATAACGGAGTGTTACGAAACAGAAATGAACGGAATATGAAATAATGTGATATCTAAATCTTCTCACAAATTAATAAAATGTTTCTAGAGTAACACGCCGTCCTTAAAGAAGCGGAATATGAATTGAAATCTTTTACATATCACCAGCCATCTTAAAATTATATTAATAAAATAAAACAAAGCATTTGACATGGCTCAACGACACCGAAAACGACCTCAAAGTCCTAAAACTTAAGAACTGGAGGGGAGTTGCCATGGACAGAGGGAGCTGGAGAAGGCGTGCTGTTGAGTCAGCCAAGGCCTGCAAAGGGCTGTTGCGCTCCTGAAGAAGAAGAAGAAGCATTTGACATAAAACAGCCGATTGTGATTCAGATAGTTATGGCTCCATAATTTCTTTATCAATGATAGTGGCAACAAGGATAGCATTGCGGACCAGCCACCTTTACTCTCCAGACAAACTTGTATCCATTGATCTGAAGCTAGGTTTGCTTCCTGCTGCAAATGGGTGATCGAAGTTAAAATGTCAAAGCCCCCCTTCGTGAAAATCCAATTATTTAGAGCATGGGGACGCAGGGGGTGAGCTGAATCATAAGAGGCAATGAGTATTTTTTTTAAATTAATATGCACGTTAACCAAATACTTTTCTCCCGAGTGGTAATCGCAGTCTATTTGTTATGATCAAAATAAGTAAGGCAATGAAAAAAAAACAGCAACAAAGAAACATATGGTTAAAAAGAGTCATTTTTTTTCTTAATTAAATAACTCAAAACACCCAAAAATATATTTTTTAACTCTAAAAAGTAGTATCAACAAAACAATTAAGTAACTATGTAAGGGAGATGAATGTGTTTGAAGGTTCAGAGAAAGTTTTTTAAAGTTCGTTAAATTTTTTTCGTGAGGTGGAGATGCAAGTCCCCTCGATTTCTCTTTTTTGTGACTAGATTCGTCACAGCACTGAATCTTTGTTTGAAAAGGTAGGAGGAAGGGAAAGCAATTAATTGCAATTAAAGCATTGATGATAGTCCACAGTCTAGGGTGGAGGCGACCTATGTTACCTTGAAGCCAAAATTCTGTGAGTCGATCACTATTTCAAAGTTTCATTAGTAGAAGTTCGACCAATTCCTCCTGAATCTAAACCTCTGCTATTTCAAAATTCACAAAAGGATTCATAACCCCTTTGAGGACTTTCAGGAACAAATCATCTGTAAAACGCTGAGAAAAGTCCAACTGTAAAGACTGAAGGTGTTGACAATATTCTTTAGTATCAGAGGGAATTTCATCATTCTTTTTAAGATCCGATAAGATTGGAAATTGGCTGAACTCATTCAGACCGAAATTCCGCTTCCACAAAATGAGTGTTTTTAGAAAGGCAGATATAACTGATTCTGTAGTGATCAAATTGAGTTCGTTGCTTGGAAGTTTTAAATTAGCACCATTAAATTTTGCAAATAAATCCGTCATGCATGCAAACGTCTATCTTAAATTCCAGTAATTCGTCTTCCAGAGTTACATCCCTGTCTTCGAGGAACTCAAGCACGGAGTCGAAAATGTTCTAAAACCTATTGAGATAGGCACCTTAGGAAAGCCAGGGTATCTCAGTGTGTAGTAGCAAGTGATATAATTCATTGTTTGTTTTTTTACACAGTTTCTGAATAATCGATTGTTGAGAGCATTAGTGCGAATTTTGTTCACAGCAGAGCTCGACATATTGCAATGACTGATGCAAACGATCATTTTTTTCCAACTAAATGCTGTCTGTGAATTACGCAGGGAACAGCCAAACTCCCTCTTCAAAAAGGTGATAAACCCACGATGTCGACCCATCATTGCAGGAGGTCTAACAGTGGCAACAGATATAATATTAGCAAGAGGAATGTTTTTCTCTTTAAAGTAATCTTTGACAGTATAAAAAACAGATTTATCTCTGGTATCTTCAATCAAGCTTCTTGCAAAAAGCATTTCTTGAATAATTTTTCCTTCCTTCGCAAACCAGACGTACGCCAACAGTAAAGCCCCATTACTTGGTAAGATTGACTCACCAACTTGAAAGGAAAATTCGTTAGCTATCAAAAGTTTGCATAAGGAAACTTCAACTATCTCATCAATTCGTCGTCGCACTGTGTCGTTGCTTAATAAGATATTCTTGATTGTATTAGATGTAGCTGGATGGTGTAAAACTGTTTCTATAACTTCCTTGCCAGCCGGCAATATCAACGCCTCGCCGATGGTACGAAAGATTCCCAGATTTAGCAATTAATTTTAATATATTATAAGAGGTTATCAAACCATCGTCGCTTTTTTGTGATGAGGTTGCTAGTAAGCCTGAGGCCGAAAATGCCTTCAGAAACGTGTCCTTGATGTTAGTGAAAAATGACAAATCTTTATTTTGTTTGTCAGGATGAATTTTTTGCAAATGCTCTTGCGAACGGGATGGTTTCATTGCCTCATTACATAAAACTTTGTTACAAAGTAAACAATTGCGTAATTGAGAGTTCTACGGCGATTGAACAAATCCGAACTTCAAATACGTGACACTGTATTGCCGACACTTCTTTTTATTAACCGTCACTGTGGCAGCAAAATGCAAACGATGAAGGAAACCCATATTCATTCCGACCTGCCCCTATTGCCCAAAGCAAATTCAGCGCCCCTCAGCATACTCCCACCGCCCCCGTTGAGAAACAATGTGATACACTGTAAAACGAATTCTATGCATTTTACAACAGAACTTTCTCACACCGCGTCTGAAGGCAGCAGCTGTAAAATTTACAAAGTTGCTGCTTAGAATACTGCTGCAAAAATTTCAGCACACTGATGTAACTTCCACAACGTGCTGTTACTGACTGTGCACAACACAGCCATGTGCAGTTATATTCACAGCATTGTCAGAAACAAAACAGCGTGACTTGTGCAGTAGCTTGCTGTAATATTTGCAGCATTTTTTGAAATTGACATCAGTCTGGTTTCATATTCGAAACAGCAACTTTGTATGTCATTTTTACAGCACCTGCTGGCAGTCGCGGTGTCAGCAACTTTTGCTGTAAAATGCGAACGACTTTCTTCAACAGTGTCATTTCATTGCAGCATTTCTTTCGAAATTGCAACCTGAATCTTAAATGAGATCTTACCTAATCTGTTGAAACTCACTGGATGTGTTGACTTGAACTTTCATCACAACGATGCACACAATGTTCAGCAATATCATGAAATTAATCTGCAATCAAACAGCACACTAAGCAATAAAATGTACAGTCATGTCAGTATTATTATCAGTATCGTTTTATCGTAATAGTTATACAGGGTGCGTTCTGAAAGTAATGCGCATTTTCTGGGAAAAATAGATTTATTGATCCTATGGGTACAAATGGTTAAAATTCTTCAAAATAGTTCCCTTGTGCTTCAATACACTTGCGGAGACGATTCTACCTGGCCTGGAAGGCACCCAGGAACTCCTCGACAGGAATGCCTCTCAGGAACCTTGTAACATGAGCTTGGATGTTCTCCACCGACTCTCAGTGCCTTCCCTTCAGCTCTCTTTTCAGTCGAAGGAAAAAAAAAGTCACACGGTGCCAAGTCAGGGCAATAGGGAGGTTGGGGCACCAAGGGGGTCTTACTTTGGGTCAGGTAGTTTTTGCTCCCCCGTCAACTCCTTCGGCACAAGATTCGCACAGACCTTTCTCATTTGCAAATCCTCTCCGTCACAATTCCACGTACCACACATTTTGACAAGTTCAGGGTGTTGGTGATTGCCTGAATGCTTAACCGACCGTCTGACACGCTGCACGTTTTCTTCTGTTCGAGCTGTTGTTGGGCGTCCAGAACGAGGCTCGTCGGTGACCTTCTCCCGACCCTCCTTGAAGGCCTTGTGCCACCTTCCACACTGAGGTCTCGAAATGCATTTCACCTTAAAGGCATGTGATGAGTTTCCGTCGCATTCTTCCCAATCCGCACACAAAACTTTATCGCTTTCCAGCGAACACTCCATCACGCCGTGACTCGATCGAAAAAAAGACTTTGCGCAAAGACACGTCCTACCGCTCCTACTACTCGGAGTGACCTGAGACCAGGCGTATTTGGAAGGACAATTCCCCCACCACATTTTTAGACCAATCTGAGTGCGCTGCGATTGATAGTCGTGTCACAATAAAATCAGGCGAATTATTTTCAGAACGCACCCTGTATGTAACGAACGCATAAGCTAAAAATTAATAAACTATTGAGTTAAGATTTCTGTTGAAATGAAATCGAAGAAGAACTGCTATATACGTTGAGAGCAGGTTATTAAAAAACAAAAATCTAGTTGATGAATTTAGTTACTTTATTTTGAATTGAAAAGTTCAATGAAAAATAAATACTGGTGCAATTTTGTTCAAATGGGTATTTTTTAAGAATTTTTTCAATGCGATGCTATTACAATAACTATATATACTTTTAAATTTTGCTATTCCTCAAACTCGGTTTTTGCTTAAATAATTTTCAAAAAAAAAAATAATAATAAATATTAAATAAATAATGGATTATTGATCAGATATAAATATAATAGCTGGTTTCAAATCATGTAAATGAATCATAACAGGACTTTTTTAATTGGAAATAGAATTAGATAGTTTTATAAAAATTTCAAAGAATGTTTTCAAATTTTAAAATAATATTTTTCTAATCCATTCAAAATTGCCACTGAAATTTTGTTTCTTTTTATTGAATATCAATTGAATACAACTCTAATAAAAAAATGTAAGGCAAAAAACTAGTTTCTTTTCTATAAAAAAATGCCATGAATATTTATGTTAGGTACACGAAATATTACGCAGTTATTGCATTTGATAATCAAAGTAACAGCTACAAACTATATTATGGGGGGTGTTCAAAAGCACTTTTGTAATTTATTGCCGATCTCCCAAACCTCTGAAAGCTTTGAACTATTGATAAATATGAAAAATCGCCTGACCTGAACACCTGTAAAATTAAAAATTAATTCTTTAAGTATTTCTTGATAAATGTTTAAAAAATATTCAAAACTAAAGTCCACATTCCATTATTGTAGTGTATACGTTAATACAACCCCTACAATACACTATATTTCACTTAAGTTATTGCCTAATAGGTAATATGCAGGTTACCTTAGTATTTTAAGAAATGAAACAACAGAGATTTCGAAAATTTACGTCAGCTCCCGCGAGTAAGATTTTGAGTAATTGCGCATGCCTCAGAATGCATGCCATTTCGCGAAAATACGTAAGTAAAAACGCTAACGTAGTAACGTTTTAACTTTGACTAAAAAATCAAAAGAAACATTTACATCGGACGTAGATGATCTCTTCGTTTAGCCAATTGTTGTAATATCACACAATTCATTTCTAAATTTCATCCATATATTTCCTCAAATTCGCATTCCATGTCTATGTTTTAAGTTCGAAGGTAGGCTTAAACAGAAAACACCATTTAACATCTATAAACAGCGTGCTTGTAGCTTCGTCTTTGTAGCGTTAATCATGTTAAAATAACAAAGATACGTTGTATCTAAAATAAACGCGAGCATGCGCAGTTGCTTCAAATCTTATGTACGGGAGAATGCGGAAACTAATGTAAAAGTGCGTATCTAGCACTTGAAGGGATCACTCTAGTTAATCTAATCTATTTGTGATGCCACAATTGGCATTACATATTTACTTCCTATCCTTTTAAATATCTCTTATTACTTAAGCTGATTTTTATTAATAGAATTACTTTTAAATTAAATCAAAGACTTAATCTTTTGAAACGAATATAAAATATTTATTCTTCTCTTTTAGATCAATGTAACGGATACTTTTTATTTCATTACTAATGCAGACTTCTTAATTCACTGTCGCCTCCAATCGAAAACAAAAATCTATTAATAACTTTTTAATTCTAAATTTTCTAACCGAAAATATGTTTCAGTTGCATGGTTGTAATAATTCTCATAAATTTATTGGCAACTCGTAATCGCCAAGGTATTCTTTCAAACCCAATATTGATATGCTGGTTGGCTTTGTTTTGGCTATGTTATATTTTGATAATTCGCCAATTTTGGATCTCCTGCCCATGCCTCTATGTCTGTTGGGAACAAATTACATGTACTTTTTAATTTGGCTTTTGATTAGGCAGGTTGTGGGGGATTTATCTCCCATGGCCTGTCCTTATTAATATTTATGCAAAATTGATTCAACTGAAATTCTTATGGATAAAATTGATATTTGGTATCTCGAGCTCTGCAAATATATAAAATAAAAGCTTTTTATTAATTCTGATCCGGTTCAAGTATTGTTTTCGTCATCTTCTGTTTTGGTCACAATCTTCAATTTGTCAAAATTCTTCAACTAGTCCACTATACAAATACAAACTCCACTCCAATACCCTGAGATTTTCATATTCAGCATAAATTGGAACCCCTGACTTTCCTTCACCACACTATTGCATAGCTCATTGGCGGTAACAATATTATCTCTAGCCACTCTATTCATTGATGTGGCCTTTCGGTACGAAAAGTTCAAAAAACCCTGAACACTCAAACTGATCATTCTCTTTTCTTAGCATTCCATTCAATCACTATCTGGAAATATAGTTTTACAGAAGGACAACTGTTGCCGCTCTCTAAAGTTCTCCCCGACTTTCTCTTATAAAATATTTATGTAGTTTTATAAAAGTAATGGTGTTACTTACCAATATGATACAAACTCTCGGTCCTTCCAAAATCCAGTAATATGGACTAAGAGCATATCCCCACCAACATCTACAAGAGGAAAGAGAAAGGAAACTTTTATTGGATCAAACACAGTATATTTCTTTTTTTCCTAATAAAATATTAAAATTCAATCGCTAGAAAGAGTACTTCTGGAATCAACTGTTGTTTTTTTTTTTGGAAAATTTTGAGAAAACATTTAAGTTGCACATCAGGTGATACGAAATCTGTATTTTTCCAATTGAAATAAATATCACATATTTCCATTTATTTAGAGATAGAATATTCCAGAACAATTTTTTCTTTTTAAAGTAGCGTACGAAATTAAAATTATTCTAATAATGATGAGCCAAGACGAAGAAATTCCAATCTAATTCTGATAATTAAGATTCTGACTTAGAATCAGCAGTTAATCTCTTCATTCACCAGGAAAAATATCTTGTAAGCCTTTATTTGAACGTTCATTTTGTAGAAAATAAATTAGTAATGCACAATTCATTCACACAGAATTTATTTCGATTCAATAGCACCTACTTTGAATTTCAATTTTATTTTGCTTATTTACAAAAATGTTATATCTATATTGACATTTATCCTTTGTGATATGTTTAAGTTTATTATGAGTTAATTGAGTATGAATTCCAAAGTTCAAAGTTTAATTATTGTGTAAAATGGTTTGTTGTTAAATTCGATGCCATCTCTTAAAACATCCGAATTCAATAACGTATTAGTTGGTTATTACGAGTAATGGAAAGCGGAAAAGACATACTAGAATTACTATTATTCGATAATATTCGTAATTATAGTAAGTTTCAAATAGAGCTGCGTTAGTACTCAGATTAATTGCTTACATAGAATTTGTTGTCGAAGGCGAAACAAGAAAAAAGTTTGGAAGTAATAATGAAAAAAACGCACAACAAAGGAAAAAAAATTATAAATATGATTATTTATGATAAAAATATTGTTTAGCAACAAAAATTGATCAAAATTACTTTTCTATGGAATTTTATTTAAGATTAAAGTGTTTTTCATGAAATCACGTTAAAAGTAGCTGAGATTATTTATTACTAGAGTCCGGATTTTGATGACCTAAAAAATCTCAACAAATACCCTTAAAAAGGGTCAAAAATGCCCTTAATGCAAAAATTGCGCAAAAAATGCCTTAAATGAAGCAAAAATATTGAATTAAAAGAATAATTTGGTCTTTAAAATTATTATGAGTCATTTAAAAAATATAAAGCAATGCAATACTTGTTCTACGTTCATATTAGTTGTTAGAAGTTTTAAGCGTT